TTCTACAAGCCAAAAGGCAGGCTTAGGAAGAGTAGCTGAATTTTTTCCATGACCAACTTCCAGAAGAAACTGAAAGAAGTCCAGGAAACACAAGTATTCCAAAATATATCTAGCTTCTGTCATGTCAACCTCCTGTGCCAGAAGGAAGTCAGAAAGCCCTGGAGAATTCCAGTTCTGCTGCCTACTTGCTCTCCACACACAATTGATAATTTTTTGTAATAATTGCTTATTCTTTGTGAGTCTGTCCCCTCTTCTATAAAAATGGGAGTACCTACTTCTTAGGACTTAATGGGGCCCTTAACAAAAAAGTTTGCGCTTGGCTACCTACTAAGAATTTGTCTGTTCAAACCCATCCAGCACCAACACAAAAGAAAGGCCTGACAACTTCTATAAAAATTGCAGCTACGAAAACCCTATGCAGCTTACTTCTATTGTATAAGACATGAGGGACCAACTCAACAGCAACTATACCAACAGCCAGGCTTAACGGGAGTCTTTGGTGATGCGAACGATTAACACTATCTGCTAACAGAAATGGTAGAGGCACAGTCTTGGGCTGAGACACCTGGGAAAAAGAGGCCTCATGCCCTACTTATGAAAAATCTCTCTGAAAACTCTATGGAACACAATTTTACTCAAACATACATGGAGTCAACTTGGTAGCAACATTTAAAAAATGTTTTTAGGATTAATGAGATGACTGTGCAATGTGTCTGAAATGGTTCTGTCTACAGGAGATGCTCAATCCAAAAATACAAACCCCAAATGATAAGTCAATTCTGACACATAGGAAGCCCATGGGGCCAAGCAGAATGGCTCCCTAGGATTTCCAAGACTAATCGCTACGGAAGCAGAATTCCTCATCTTTATCCTGCAGACTGACTGGTGGGTTTGAACCTCCAATCTTTTGTCGGCAGCCCAGTGTTTAACCTACTGTACCACCTGGGCCCTTTAGATACTTAATAGTGGTAGATATTTAAATAATAGATAACAGGTAAGCATGATCACTGATTATGCTTTATATTATCAATTTGCCTTGCACTGAGCTAATGCGTCCCATTATTCTTTATCTACTAAACATTTTTTGCATATTGACTTTATGCAAAAGTCATACTGTTACACACTAGGGGTTTGGTAGTAAATAAAATGGATGCCATTTATATATTAATGAATCTTACAGCCTAGCTAAATAGGTTACCTATCCTTGAAGTTGATGTCAAGCAGCATAAAGATGGGGCTTGCTAAACAGATGGTACAATGATCAAACTAACCTTCAACTCATCCACACAAAAAATATTTAGTAGTATACTGGATAACTTACTTGTATAGCTCATAGCCAGAAAGACATTTATAAAAGTCTTCCTGAAACTTGAGAAGGGCCGAGGTAAGATAAATATCCTCATGAGAATATAAATAGAGCATCTCAAAAGACATGATTTTCACCCCGCCAGTTGGAGAGGGTTTTGTTTTTTGTTTTTTTTAACCAGTGCTATATCTCCCTGGGTTCCCGAAAGCCAGAGAACATGTATTCTTCCCTCACCCCATCTGCCAAATTAGGAGGGCTTCCATGCCTCCATTCTATGTAGCTGTCTATGTGTTGTAAGTTCTGTGACATGCCTACATGATAGAAACTTGTATCCTTTGCTTGGGACTTCTGGCATCTTTCAATCAATCACTGTCACTCTTGTGACAGTAGTACTGCTTTTTATAACAATGGTAAGAGCGGGTATAATTATCTGTACTTTACACAGGAGACTTAAATAACTCGACCAAGGTCATTGGACTGGTAAACGGCGAAGCTAAGATTTAACTCAGCTCTGTCTGTCTGACGTCACTCTTCAGTCTCAGAATGGCTGACGTAAGTAGACAGACCTCAGTTGTCTGTGTGCTTTGGAAATATAGAAATCTGACTCTTTCAAATTTTTAATTTTAAAACTATGAGAATAAGATGGGTCAATGGAACTAGAACATAATGATTCAACTAAACCTAATCTAATCCTGGCCTAGGAGCTGCTTATGAAATTATAAGGGACTGAAATTCAATAAATCACTGTGTCCAGTTGGCCTGGTTATCAATCAAATCCAAGACATTTCATTTCATAACATTCCATAAAGTAAAGGCTTCATGTTTCAGATTCTCATCTCTTCATGGCTGCAGATGTAACCCTTTCCTCAGGTCAGGAGTGTAGAAACTGTGGCTAAAGACCACCAGCAGCAGTCTCTGGATGGTATAGGGCTGCTGTGAGTTGGAATCAACTGAGAGGCATTGTGTGTGTGTGTGTGTATGTCAGAAGTAGTGAGGGAAAGTAATATGTGTGTGTGTGTTGGGGGTGGGGGATTAGCAATAGGCCATTTTAGGTTTTCATTCAGTTCATAGTTTCTGTGTTTTTCTGTTCTCCATGCACATCAGAAACGGCTGATGTTTTACTAATTAATGCAATGTGACACCCACCCCCAACCCCTTACCACTTCTACGCCAACTGCATGTGCTTAGGGAAGGGAAGGTCATTTGATCCCAAAAGGGCCAGTCATATTCCTTCTCCTGTTATACTATATCCCTAATTCCTAACCCTTCTTTGCTCTTTGTCATGTGACCATGCAGTCTTTCCCATAAAAGAGACTATTTTTAATTTCCTCATTGAGGTTACACTGAGCTATGTGGCATGCCAGTGGAATGTCAGAGGATACAACTGGGGCCAAAAAAGCTTTGATGTGCACATAAAGTTGGACTTGTCTCTGGTGCCCTTACCTTTTGTCCATGAAAAGAATATTTCTTAGGTAGCTGTTGATCCAAGAAGGATGAGACAGCCTGGACAATCTTGAAGGTCAAAGTCAAGTTCACCCCAAACTACATACATCCATAAAAACTGACTAACCCATTGGAACATAGAAGAGGGAAATGAATGCTCATGATGTGTAACACTGTGGACTGGATTGGTTTGTTATGCAGAATTATTATGACAATGGATGACTGACATGTTTTTCTTTAAAAGTATAGAACTAAACTAAAAGACAAAAAGACTGTCTAAAATTACACTAAGAAAAAAAAGACAGTCTATCAAGGGTTTCGAGGTTCTGCTCTGTAGTTACATGTTGGGTGGCAATCAGCATGGTCAGCAGTTCAAAACACCAGCCAACCCACGAGAGATAGACTGGGTGGGCTTTCTATTTCTGGAAAGAGTTACAGTCTCAGAAGCTTACAGGTAACACAGTCACCATTGACTATGCCTATGCAGTGAGGTGTTTTGTTGTTGCTGCTGTTGTTTTGTTTGGGTAACTAGCGGTTGGGACATGTAGCCAGCAGAGCTTGGCATAGAAGAAGCCTAAACTCTTGGCAATTAGATTCTTAAAATTGTTTCCTGGTTCCCACAAAAGAGATTCTGTCTCAGATTCCAGAAAATGTTTCCAGAATCCTTTCTCTTTATCCACCCCTGGCCTTAAGCAAGGATTTACTGCTTAAGTGAGAGTCAATTGCTGTTACTTGCAATGAATATGCACCAAATATAATAGAATAAAATGTGCAACTTTTAGTTTTGTGTTAAGAAAAATTAACTCAAAACTCCTCTTTTAAAGTTTGCCTAAACAAGGAATCACCCCCCTGTTGACAGTGTTGTGTGCATTGCTGCGACTCAGTTGAACAAACGCAACGGCAGTGCGTTTCCTTCGGGGTTTCTTTCTCTAGGATTTCCACTCAGCTTTGGGACCAAGCAGCATAGGACCTCGCATTAAGAGCATATTCCAATTCAAAGCAACTCGTTAAAGCTGCTACGTGGCTCCTGCCAGGGCCTCCCCGGCTCACCAGACAATCCGAGGAAGAAGCGCGTGAGAGAGACCCACTGCTGTTACTGGATACTGGAGACATTAGCTGTGTGAAGGAAGGGCAGCTTCAGTGTATAAAATAGAGGATGGTTTATTTTAACTTCCTCTTCTAGGACTTTTCTTTTTACTTTCTATTCATCTCGGTTTGCTTCTGGCTCTTCCCTTCAGCCCTTTATAGTGACGCCCGTCTAGCTTAATTTACTTTTTGACCCAGTTCTACGCTGAGAGCTGTCCCATTAAACTTGTGCTCTTTTGTGAGAAGGCACAGTAAGCCCAGATTCAATTCATAAAATAGATATTTAGGAGGTTACTATTCAATGATCAAAAGATTCTCTACAGTCTTCATTATGGCAATAAGATCCCTGGCAGAATTCCTTAAACTGTAGTGTAAAAGTATCCCCTTTGCAAAAAAACAGAAAAAAAAAGAATTTGTATTCACTTACCCAAGAATATATTCATTTTGAATAATGAAGATTGTCTTCATATTTGGCATGTGAAGGGAATTATTCAGTGATTTGAGAGAACTATAAATAGCTTTAAAATCATTAGGGAAAAAGCAAGATTGTTGAGTGCAGAAAATGAGAAAGACGAGGAAAAATTGAGTATTTTTGTTGTAATTTTGGACAACGTTGCTTCTTATTCATTCTACCTAATCCAACCAGAAGTATTATGACTTTGACATTACAATTTCATAAGATATGGAGACTGTAGACATCAGTTTGACAGGGATATATAAAGTTCAGAGTAACCGAGGCATTGCTAATTAAAGCTTTTGGAATCATGAAAAGTCACTACGAAAAGGAACCTTGAAAACCCCGTGATGGAATCTCTGCTGTGGCAGAGATGTTAGATTGGTTCCTGGTAGAGTCTTTCTTGTTAGACAGGGCACACAGCATCATCCTCCAAGATAGTCTAGGATCCTGCTGATCAGGGCTTTTGCTGCTCCTTTCAGCATTGTGAGATCTAGAAATATGACGAGGAGTTCCCTCTTAAAAAGGGCCTCAGCAAATGAAGCTCCTTCAGGTTGACTCTACCAACGCAATCCAATCGGCCAATTCCCTTTGCGTATGATGCCTGCGTGCTCATCTTTCTTGCTGGGGAAACGTTGTGAAGTCCTTCAGCTCTCACCATTTGGGGAAATCGTACTGTGACCTAACTGGATATACTCGGACTCGGAGTAACTGCACTGTCAAGCACAAAGACTCAAAAGGAAAAGCTACTTGGAACCCATATCTTGAAGCCTCTCCACACCCAAACGTTTGGCATATATTCTAGTTAAGATAGGGGCTTCTGAAGTTCTTCTAGTATACCACTATTTCTCCTTGCTTTGTATAAGAATCCATGGTGATATAGTGGGGTAAGAATTGGGTTGCTAACTTCAAGGTTGATAGTTCAAACCACCAGCTGTTCCATTAGATAAAAATGAGGCTGTTCACTCTCTTTTTTTTATACTTTTATAGATTTAAAGTTTTAGAAATACCATATATGAGTGACTGTGAGCTAGAATTGAATTGATGGCAATGGATTTTATTGCTTTAGAGGGTTGTATAAATTTAAGAACTCAAGGAAAAAAGCTAGGTTTTCTATCTAAAGACTGAAGTTTCCTTCTATATAAAAAGTGTTCTCTTTTTTAATTCCAGGGAAAGTATGAGATAACACACACCAGCCAAACTATAACTCTGTTCCAATAGTCAAGTTAGGTTCTGTCAAATTTTTGTTTGGTTTTAGGCAAGAAAATGTTTTAAAAAACCGAACAATTAAAAAAAATTGTTTCCCCTTTGGGATTATATGGAGAAATCCATGGCTCTTGATCCTCATCTTTATTAACCCCAAACACCCACTGTCCTCCAATCCATTCCAACTCATCTGACCCTATATAGGATTCCTGAGCCTTACACATCTTTACCCTCATCCTTCTGAGAAGTGGCTGGTGGGTTTAAACCACTGACCATGTGGTTACAGGTCCAGTTGTGTCAGCTAGGCTCCTTCCTAGTTGTACTACTTCCTTTCATGTGCAGATTTATGTAAGGCTCTCAAACTCATGTCCATACCCCTCTTCCTATAGCATGTGGCATGTGAGAATATATTATTTTTAAATTACAGCTCATGTTTTAGTTCTGTTGAATATTTTCAAATACTATCTCCTGACCAGGTGTATAGAAAATTATGGTAATTATAGAGAAAATTAAAGCCATCAACTTCTTGATATTAAGGAAGAAAATTGAATTAACCTGATTAGTAGCATATATCACTTAATACAACATATGTGTAGTGTGAAAGTAATGCCTCCCAGTTAATTTACCCATTAATTTTGATGATAAAATTTTCCTTTCTTCTTGTGCCTAAGTGGGCCATAACCTGACATCTTAATTTACTTTTCATTTGCATAGACAAAGACGGATTTAAAGAATTTTAATATATTTGTTATACTTCCAAATGTGTATCTATCAACTATTTAAACTATGCAGATCTCTTTGCCTGTTCATTTTAGTCAGAACCCCAACTCACTCTGCATTTTGTCTTTGCCCTTAAAACTCTGCTCTCCCCTATCAACTTCATGATGCTTAAATAGAAATGGTGCTCTACACGTGTGCTTCCCGCTGCCCAAAACCCACCTCACGGGCATTTCCCAGCATCCTGTGGGACAGATGCCGTTCAGAAGCGAGGAATCTCACCTCCGTGCTGCGGAGACACTCCTCTAGCCTCAGCACCACTGCAGAAACGTCAGGTCTTCCCTGTCAGTAATAACTAAACAAAGACAGTTATTTTCCCTCCAAGTATAAAGGGGTGGAATTCTGTGGGTTTTGAAATGTGTGTATTTGCATTTGTAAGGAAAGAGATTAACAATAAAGTAACTTTTTATTTAAAATACCCCTGTATTGAAGTGTTCATTGAATGTTCATTTGCTGTTCAGGGACAAATGTTGAGTCTTCTCTGATAAGAGTTTTAAGTCAGAATTTGCAACTCTGGTCAGATAATGAAATAGTGGAAAAGCTTTAATTAGCTTTGCATGTTTTTAAAATGGCAGGTTTTCCACTTCACAATGAAAGAATAAACGTGAACACTAACAACCATTACCTATCTTGGTGCACAATATGTGGGCAGGAAAATAACTGCTAGAGTTAATTTTATAATTACCTTCCTTTTTAAAAAGACCATCTCAGATCCGACACAAAGATCAAGACAAAAACTGACTATGCCCTGACTCAAGGCCTTAGACAAGCTTTTTGTCTTCAAATATTGCCTTTAATGACACTGCCAATTATGGACTTCAGACGAAAGTGGTTAAATGAACATTTATTGTATTTGGAGTTTATTCCAGGCATTTTTCTAGTTGCTAGGGATATAAACATGATTATGGATTCATAGAAAACGTTTTTTTGAATTTAAGAAAATGATGGCGTCTTTTGAAGAAATTTCATGCCTCTTTTTGTCAGATGCTAAGGAAGATATAACCTATCATCTCTCCCTTTGTGTGACTTTCACTGCCTGGCAGTGGAGGGGGCCAATTTAACATGCAGGTGCAGTCACCAACTAATTCAGACTCTTACTAGAACAATGTCTCCTTTAATATCTTGTCCTCCCCTGAGAGCCCTGCTGCCCCCAGAGCCCTCTCAAGTGGAAGTTGTTTTCCCTGGCACATCCTCTATTCCTTTAGATTGGTGGGGGCAGCGGTAGGGTACACTCAGAGCTATCTTCCTGTTGCCACAACTTCCAAAAGATCCCTCCTCTAAAAGCATCAGTTTATCAACTCCATGTCACTTTTCCTCATCATTTGAAGATTTTTAACTGCTGGCTTACTGTCTTGCTGAGTTAGTTAGTTTATTGTGCCAACCTGGCCGATAAACACATGTGGGGTTAATTGAAAGGTGGAGGGATAAATGGCTCCTCGGTGAGCCCTGCCTTTCAAGTTCTCAGGTCTCTTGCTTTGTGATGGTCGGACCAGGGTGCAGCTGCCTTAGCAGTTCCCTGCTTCAGCTGGCAAGGCTCACTTCCTATGAGACATCCCTAAGGAGAAGCCACATGGACCTATCCCGATGCAGCTCTTGGTGCTGGAGCACCCATGTGGAGACCCCTGCCAGAGATGAGATGCTTACATATTCACTGACTCAGCTTTCCTCCTGCAGTTGGCATCATAGTGTGTGTCTTATGAGATGGAGGATGACTTTATGGACTGGTGTAGGACACCATGAGTTAATGTTGGACTTGTGGGTTTGGGCAGCACTGGGTTGGGATGTTTTCTTGATGTGCACTTGACCTTTATATAAAACTCTCTCTTATACATGAGTTTCTGTGGATTTGTTTCTCTAAACTACCCAGACTAACACACTTGCTCTCCAACACATGATTCCGAGTGTCTTATCACCTATCAAGATGACCATGACAATTGCCTCACCGCAGTATCTGTGCCTCCTCTTCTCCCATGAGCTCTTCTCCCATCATTTCCAAATCCTTTAGCCATGATGCATGTTCCTGTTACTTCCAAGGTCTGCGATGCTCGTGGCTTTCAATTCCCATAGATTTTGTGTCCAGGCCTCAGCTCCTTTCTTTCTGGATTACTCCTTCTAGAGCCCTGACCCCACCAGTCTTTGGCCATAATGATGCTTGCCAACCATCTTACAACTTCACTAGTGTCTAGAATGGAGTGAGCTTCCATGGCAACATCATACAACTATAAAATACAGTGGTATTTGCCACTATCGATGGATTGATTGATCGACAAGGGTAAGTCAGAAAACATAACTACAAAATTAAAAAATCAGGAAACACCTTTATTAAACAAAATGTCACAATAGGAAGCTACTCTTTGTCAACATACCGTCCATCAAAGTCTGCACCTTTCACACAGGCTTCATAGCCACTTCAGAAAGTGCTTTCATCACATCGATCGGAAGAATTCTATGCTCCTTCAATTCACACCATATCAAAAAGAGAAGTTTGCACATCCCTGAGGGGCACAGATTGTATGATTTTTAAACGTTCTTTTAATTTGGGGGGACAAGAAGTCTAAAAGGACAAGATCAGAGCTGGACAGTGGATGAAATAAGGTGTCTCAACAAATTGTTTATAGGCTAGTCCTTGCTACCCTCTATGAATGAGGAGGTGTATTGTACTGAAAAACAATTCCTTGGTGCAAATTTCCTGTTCTGTTTCTTATCAATGCAGTTTTCTCTTTTCTTAAGAATTCTCTGACCTTTGAGAGAATACATCAAGTTTGCTCTTGGGAATCCTCCCACATAGTTGCCATAACCTTCTAAGCAGGCCTTTCAGCCTTGAACTCCACTGGCCCAGCAGCTTCTACTAGAAGCCCCAGTTTTGACTGAACCGTTTTCTTTGAAGGTTCCCTAAGGATTCTAAGACAAAGTGTTTTACTGAGAGAACTTGTGTGTAGCCACCCACTGGCTACACACACACCCTTTTTATCTTTTAATCATTTATTGGGGGCTCCTACAACTCTTATCACAATCCATGCATCCATCCATTGTGTCAAGCACATTTGTAGATTTGTTGCTCTCATCATTCTCAAAACATTTGCTTTCTACTTGAGCCCTTGGTATCAGCTCCTCATTTTTCCCTTCCCTCCCTGCTCCTCCCTCCTTCATGAACCCTTGATAATTTATAAATTATTATTATTTTGTCATGTCTTACACTGTCCAATGTCTCTCTTCACCCATTTTTCTGTTGTCCATCTCCCAGGGAGGAGGTTATATGTAGATCCTTGCAATCAGTTCCCCCTTTCTACCCTGCCTTCCCGCCACCCTCCCGGTATCGCTACTCTCGGCACTGGTCCTGAAGGGATCATCTGTCCTGGATTCGCTGTGCTTCCAGTTGCTATCTGTACTAGTGTACATCCTCTGGTCTAGCCAGATTTGTAAGGTAGAATTGGGATCATTATAGTGGAGGGGAGGAAGCATTAAAGAACTAGAGGAAAGTTGTATGCTCCCTTGGTGCGATGCTGCATGCTGAGTGTCTCATTCTTTCCTTATGACTCTTCTGTGAGGGATGGTCCAAATCACTCCTACCCTCATCATTCGCATTGGTATATTTGTTTGTTTGGGGTGTTCTGATGCCTGATACCTGATCCCATCAACACCTGGTGATCACACAGCCTGGTGTGTTTCTTCCATGTGGGCTCTGTTGCTTCTGAGCTAGATGGCTGCTTGTTTATCTTCAAGCCTTTAAGACCCCTGAGGGTATATCTTTTGATAGCCGGGCACCATCAGTTTTCTTCACCACCTTTGCTTATGCTCACATTTGTCTTCAGTGATTATGTAGGAAAGGTGAGCATCATGGAATGCCAATTTAATAGAACAGACACACATACCTATAAATACATTTTGTCAGGAATAAACCTGTGCACATATAAACCACTGGAGAGCTATTAATAATATTGATTTCCTTCTCTCATATCTAGCTCCCCCGAGTTGTTTGTTCTCACTTCACTCTCTTTTCACTTTGTCTCACCTAGCTCATTCCTTCACTTCCCATTTCTGAACTTTAGTTTTCATTGACAATCATAAGCATGTTCTTCCATGCTACTGAGCTCCCTTCTACTGTTTAAAATGTTGTACTCTCTAGGAAAAATCTCCACCTGGATTAAATCCATTTCAAGTGTTCTCACTGAAAATTTGTAACCATAATTGGGCCTTTAGTATTGCCCTTAAATCCTATGAGATATTCTAGCCCAGCCACTCTCTCATATTCCTGATGGCTATTTTGTATCTTACTCTCTCTTCAAACCTTTAATTTTTACTAGCATATCAAGGCACGCAGGCTTGCTTAGACAATGCAATCGAGCTTGTCTTCTGTTTTTCTGTATAAAATTTGCTGGTTATGACTATATTTATTTCTTGTCTATAATTTACTCAAATGTATTGCTCTCATAATACTTTTGTCAATGTTTCTGCATCATCGATGTTTCTTTCTATCAGGTAAGTCCCATCAGCATAAAAACATGCCATGCATTTTCCTATGTTAAAATAAACAATTCTCATCACTCTACTTTTTCTCAACCGATTACTCAATTTCATCTATATAAACTTGCTTTTACTCAGTGAATTCCAGTTCCTCCCCTTTGAAAGCATGTCCTTTCCTCTCTAATCCTATAACAGTGCTGGCATTGGCCCTGCAGAACACACAAAGAGCTCTTCATTGCTGGAAACCCCGGTTAATTCTCAATGCTCATTCCACCTCACACTGCAGTCACGGGAGGGAACCATCACATTAGTGATGTAATGGGTGAGTGTTGGACTGTTAACCCCAAAGTGTGTGATCTAAATCCACCAACTGGCTTTGCAGGAGAACGGCGTGCTGACTTGCTCCCATTCATATTTCGAAAACCCAAACACCTGTTGCTGTCAAGGAGCTTCTGATGCATAGCGACATTTAGGACAAACTAGAATTGCCCCATAATCTTTACATAAATAGTTTACCAGAGTAGGTGATATGTTAAAACCACAGACTTTTTGCATTAGCAGCTGAACACTTAACTGGTGCTAGGGCTTCCTCTCATAAAGCTTACAGCCTGGAAATCCTTATGGGGCCATTTACTCTGTCACATGCAGTTGATATATTACTAATTATTGGAAATCTGTTTGACAGCTAAAAACAATAGATAATCCCTTTGTCTTTGAAACAGTCTTTTCAATTAGTTTGAGGTCACTACTTTCTCGTTGATTCTCATTAATCTGTGATCTTTCTTGGTGTCCTATTTAAGTTCCACCTTTTCTACCTATCTTAACATTTTTTGATTGCCCAAGAATTTGGTATGTGGATTTCTTCTCTATCAAGATTTGTTTGGGGAGACATTCAACTCATATTTATGGCTTTAAAAAACAACCTGCATGTTCCAACTCTAGTATTTTCCTTTGAATTCCAAACTCATAGATGCAATTGCTTACATTTATAGTTTTCTCCACTTCAATAAATGCCAACTCCATCTTTCTGCTTGAAGAGACTAAAAATCATAGTCAAACTACTGAAACTCAAAAATAAATAGGAAATCTGTAGATGAGAGCAGTGAGAAAGAAGGAGAGATTTCAAAATGTAAAAACTTGGATAACTTCTAATTCCTCACAAGGAACAATGGAAATAGAAGAATATATAGCAACATCTTTAGAGTGTGAAAGGAAAAACGTCTCAGATCAGCAAAAATAACCTTCAAGAAAGAAGGTACAAAACTAGGATTTTAAACTAGTGAATCCCCACAGCAGAAAGTCTGATAGGAAAAGGAACTTGGATGGCATATTACCTACTCCAAGCCTTTCCTTGACCTCTAGTTGGATTGCAGAATGAGGAGAATAAAGTGAGAGAGTGTGCATACGAAAGAGCTAGAAACTGCAATGTATAAAGTACCCTGATTTTTCGTTGCTAATTTCCATTGACTCCAGTTTGATCCAGGACCACCCCAGGTTTTACAGAGCAGCACTGCTCCATAGGGTTTGCGTGGCTGTAGATCTCCTGACCTTTGAGGACATGGCACTGCTAGGTGGGCTTGAACAGCCACCTTGCAGATGAATTAAAAAAACACACACCCATAATTTAATTAAATTAAAAGACATAAACTTAACTGCCTTCGAGTTAGTTACAATTCATAGAGCCACTGTATCGAGGTGCAGGGACTACAAACCTTCATGGGAGCAGCAGCTGCATCGCTCTCACAGAGGAACTGCTGACCCTGTGATGAGCGACCCAATGCCTAACCCACAGTGCTACCAGGACACCTTTTATGTGGCTAATTATGCATAACACAATGTCTGAAGTGCAAAACCACTAGCTTCTCCTTGGGAGAAAGACTGCGCTTTCTCCTCCCATAAAAGTTATCGCTAATCCCATAGGGGGCGTGCTGCTTGGTCTAACAGAATGCTGAGTCACACATGAGTTGTTGTCAGTAAGGCGAGTCAACCATTCATAACCACCACCACCACCACCCCAGCCGCCCCGTGTACTTATTTGTTTGACAAGTCAAAAGTCATGCTAATTTGCGTTTATGGCCAGTCCATTCAACTCTGCAAATTAAAGGCTTAGCAAATTATCAAGGCGCCCTGGTGACACGATAGTTCTAGACTGCTACCTAACTGCTTGGAGCCTTCAGTGGCTCTGTGGGGAGAAAAGACCTGCTGACCTGCTTCCACAGAGACTGCAGCCCAGAATACCCTGGAGGAGGCGTGCGACTCGGTCCTTGGAGGTTACCGTGAGTCAGAACCCACTTGACGGCGTGCCGCAAACAGAACAACAACAGCAGGCATTTTCAAAGCAGAAATCACCAAAATGCATCCTGAGCCGAGTGTGCTGACGTCATAAAAAGCAAATGCCGGCATTATGCTGCCCACTGCCCTCTCTTCTCTTTTCAGGTGGACCGCTCGTGCTCTCGGCGATCCTGCTCCGATTGGCGGCAGCCTGCCCTGCAACCTGCGCAGTGTGCGCTGAAGATATAACCTTCTGCCATCAGCTGACCTATATAGTAGGTAATATACCAAAGTCATTCTAAAATACAACGTTCAGGTTATCTGGCAAATTTGTTGTCATGCTTTGCATTGAAATTGCTGTTCTCTGGACTCAGCCTGAAGGAAGCAAACTTTAAAAGAGCAAACCTTTTCACCGCAACTAAAGACTAATAATAACATTTTCTTTTCTTGCTTCTAGTGGCCTTCTCAAAGATATGTTAAAGCATTTGAAGGTAACTGTGGTGTTTCAAAAGCTATACTACTGCACAAGTATACAACCATTTTATGTAGCTAAAAACTCTCAAAGAGGAGGGAAAAATGATGACCTTAATTATATTTTGCATATATTCTGTGCAAACTTGAACTCTGCCACAAGCTGGAAAGACTATGAATGGATCAGAAACCTGAACTGCAATTGTTCAGGCATTAGTAAGATTAAATGATGTACCAGTGAAACAAATTATTACCAAAGTGCATCTAATTTTGAAAGTTGAGTATTTTTTTATTGGTGGTAAATGAGCTGTAGAAATGCGAACAAGATACTCTGCCTGCATTCATTACATATTGCTTGCTTAAGTCAACAATTTAATAAGACACCTTATTAACAAATTTGAGGAGAATGTGATTTACATCCTGATATCCAAGAAGCAATAAACAAGCTATAAACTCTGCCAATAGAACTTTTCATAAAACAAGTATGAGTTAAAGAATTGTTCATTATATTTCTTAAATTCATTGGCGCTATGAGAATTAGGAAGTAGACATAATAGCCTCTATAACAAGGGAGAGAATGTTACAAGGCTAGTTGATATCTACCCTTTTCTGATAATACTGAGAACTCATATAGACCAGTCTCTTACTCTCGAAAATGGATTTCTGAGCTTCACAACATTCATTTCTGATTAACTGATGTCTGTAGGAAACAAATATTGCTCCTCTATATTCCTGCATCTCTTGAATTTGCTTCTCATTGACAGGATGCTACACTTATAAAGTTAGATTTCATAGGCACAGAGCCGCAAATGGAGGGCCTGTGCATGGAGCTTCAGTCAAGTGATAGCCACGAAGTGATCCACAGTGATCCACAGTGATAACAAGACCTGCTTTCCCAGAGGGGAAGAACCCTTCAGAGAGTGTTGTGGATAACTGCTCTTGATAAGTTTCCAGCTCAAAATGCCTTTCTATGCTGTAGGAGGAAACACTGCCCCAGCCTTCCCCGTCCTCACAATCATTCCTGTACTTCAGTTCATTGTTGCAACTACTGTATCCATCTATCTAATTGAGGCTCTTCCCTCTCTTTTTTAAACCCTCTAGTTTACCAAGCATGATGTCTTTCTCCAAAAAACAAAACTCGCTTATTCCATATCAAAGACTATGAAAAGATAATCAAAGTGTAACGCTAGCCAGAAGTAATAAAATTCAAATAATCAATTACGAAATATCTTAAAATTACCCTTTTCATATTTGTGTCACCTGGAAGGAAACCAGGTGACACCGTTCAGCTCCGACTGCTAATCCAAGTCAGTGGTTCAAACCCAACAGTCACTCCGTGGAAGAAAGACGGGTCTGTCTGCGTGTGTAAAAGTCATGGCTTTGGAAGTGCTCTACGGGGTTGCTATGAGTTGGAATTGGCTCCGTGGAAGTGGCTTTTGTTTTGGTTTAGTGCTGATTGGATGAGAGAGGTCAATTCTTCTGAAAGAAAACCCAAACCCATTGCCATCCATCTATTCCAATTCACAGCGACCCTACAGAACCGAGTAGAAGGCTGTGAATATCGAAAGAATCAGACGGCTTCAACTTTCTCCCAGGGAATGAAATGGGGATGGTGGGTTTGAATTGCCAACTTATCTGCCAGCAACTCAACGTTTAACTGACTACTCCCTGGAGCTCTTTACTGCTTCTAAAATAGGGTTCTCTGACAATCCTTTGCCTTTTACTTAAAACACACACACGTAAAGAGCTTTCTTTGTTTCTGAGATGCAGTCTAAATTTCATAAGGGAATTGTGATCCACATCCTGCTCACAGGTGTCTGTTCTAATGTCACCTGTAGGCTGTCCAGGGGCAATGGACTCTGCCATCCTTATGACACTGCCACTGGCAATCAAAACAAGTTTAGCATGATAAAGATGAGCAACAATAATTCCTGATTACACTACGTCTTTATTGAGTTAAAAATGCTCTGATTTCTAATGGCAGAGCAGCGATAGCTCTGAGGTGATTATAGGGGAGGGATTTAGCAGTTGGAAGCCTGGAGTACCACCTGTCATCACATGATGGACTTCATTGGAGGGAACAGATATGGGACAGGAGGCAGGATGGCCCAGGCTCTAATGAGAACCCCACTGGAGAGAATATAGATTCTTACCAACATGCAGCCTGGAGCTGAAAAGCACAAACCACTCTTCCTTCTCACCCCCCACACCTCAACCCACACCTTTATGTTTGAGCGAAAAGATGACTGACTCCCAGCTTTCATGTACTCTGCGAGTGGAACAATGGTTTGCTCAGGCTCATGCTTGGTTCTTGAGTGAGTCTCTACTGGGGCAGCAAGGCTAGAAGAGGTCAGTCTACAGGTTCTAAAGAAGGAAACTTGAAAACCCATCTTCACAGTACTGTTAATATAATGATGATCATGCCAAACAATGAACTAACTTTGACATTTAGAAGAGCAGATGGGTATGTGTTTCTCAAACAAACATGTCACAGTGAAAAGAGAATATCAGAATCCATCATGATGATTAATAACTGGCTCCCTCTAAAATTCAGAAATAAGAGCATCATTTTCATTTTGTTGATTGCCATGGCCCAGGAGATAAGATTGCTCGGAGGGTATTGGTGATCTCTGCTCTCCACTGCCCCCACCCCCTGCACTCATGTGTGTTCTGCTTCTTAGTCTGGGCTTTTGCTCTCCACAGCAGCTCCTGCGACCACGAAGGTTTTAATCCTCACTGATGGCTACCTCTCCTCTATGGACAGCGCGAATCTGTCCCTCCTGGCTAACCTTGCCCTGCTTTCCTTGAGCAGGAATGGCATCGAGGGCATGCGGGAGGATGCCCTGCATGGCCTCACCAAGTTGCAGACACTGCTACTGGGACACAACCACATCTCCAGCCCTTCGCTCCCTGATCGCACCTTCAGCAAACTCCACAGCCTCCAGGTTCTGGTGCTTAGCAATAATGCTCTGAGCACCTTGCGAGGGTCCTGGTTTCAACACACCAGGGCCCTGACCCGACTGCAATTGGATGGGAATCAGATTCCTAATCTGACAGACAGTTCTTTCGGGGACACACACCTCCCCAGTCTCAGACACCTGGACTTATCTAACAATTTTATTTCCTACATTGGGAAAAATGCCTTCTGGCCCCTGCCTCAACTACAGGAAGTGGACCTTTCCCGAAACAGGCTGGCCCACATACCGGACGTGTTCACACCCCTGAAGCAGCTAATCCACCTGAGTTTAGATAAGAACCAGTGGCACTGCACTTGCGATCTGCAACCCCTCGCCCGGTTTTTAAGAGGCTTCGTGAACTCCTCAGCTCGAACACTCAGGAATGCCAAAGACCTAACTTGTCAGCTGCCCCCTGGCGCAGTGGCCCCAGCAAAGAGTGTGCTGAGGCTGTCGGAGGCCAACTGCGATTCCAAAGCTCCCAACTTCACGCTAGTCCTGAAGGACACAAGTCCCATTCATCCAGGGCGGGACGTGACCCTGCTGACTGTCCTGGGCTTTGCAGGTATGCCTGTGAGAAGTGTGCTCCCCTCCTCTCTCCCTGGCTTGTATTAATGCCCCCCACCCTCCAATGCCTCTCTTAGGCAATAGGGGACATTTTCCAGGATTCGTAGAAGTTGTCAGGAGATGTGGGAGGATGGCAGCTAATTTGGAAAGGCTTCAGGATTTCCAATTGCAGATTTACTTCTAATTCACTTATGGAGCTCTAGTCCTTGTATAAGGAGCCGTGCTGACACATTTTGTAAGCATGCATCGAGTGAGAGGTTGATGCTTTAAATCCCCCACAGCTGACCAACGGGAGAAAGACGTGATGGCTCACTTCCATAAAGAAGCCACTTCTGGGAAGCCCTCTGGGGCCAGTCTACTGTCTAAGAAACAATGGACTCACTGGTGCCCAGTAGCAGGAACCACCACCATCGTAGGAACTCTCTAGGGCAGTGGCGAGTGGTGGACGTAGGAGCGCATCAAAGCTGAGAAGGCAGGTTTCTAAAATTGTTTCTAGGACTAATTTGAGGTATTTTGAATCTGTGCTATAATATTATTCCACAGCAGGTTTCTGGGGAGTTGATTGAAAATCAGATGTTAATTCCTGACAATAACGCATTTAATCAGAATAGATGGAGACCTGCACTGGGTCTAGAACAATGTTTCCCAAAGTGGGTGATACTGGCCCACTACAGGGTTCTAGAATTATCTGGGGGTGAGGGTGGTGCTTAAGAAGATGCCTACACTTTATCATGATTTTGGTCTACTGAACAGAAGTTTTTAATGGCACGGGGTTGCTGAATATTTTTTTTTCCAGATAAAGGGGCAGTATGCAGTCATTGAACCAAGTCACAGAGATACATTGTTTTCAAACCCATGTAACAATGTGACTAATTATATGGCCAATATAAAAGCAATAGGGAAATACACCATTTTCCTCTTTAAAATGATTTTTAAAGTACACATTCTAAAGGATAATTAATAGATATTCCATCATAAACACATACGTATGTACATGTAAGCAATAGGTTGCCAGTTCAAATAGGTTTGGGAAATGTTGGACTAAAAGTGAAAGAGGCTTACTTACTATAACCATTCTCATAGCCTTTCATTTTATAATAGGCATTATTAATCTTCAAGAGGAAATATAATGTAGAACATTTCTTCAACTTATTTGACCACGAACCCTTTCTTATTCCTACAGGACCTTATTGAACTAGTGTTCTGTAGGACATCATTTTGGAGATATTACAATATGGTAATCATTTTCTTTTCCCACTAAAGATAAATCACTCCTATTCAAAGGGATGCTAATAATCATATTCAATGAATTTATAACTAATAAGTGGCTATTTGGCACCAAATGCTAATGTCTTTTCATGTCAAGTCCTGTGACCTAGTGGATAAAAAGAGTGTTTTTATGAGGCTATAACATGTTTCCAATACATAGATGAAGGCCTATCACTAATTTGCCCGTTTCCTCTGTTTTTCCAATATAGAAGGATTGCTAGAACATTTTTTTAAAATAGCAATTATGCTCATGGCAATGAAATTTTAACCACCTTCTTAATAGCACATTCAGCCTATTGACAAGCTTCATCTGCTGTTTTCGCTCTCTGCATGAAAGGAACATAGGCATACCTGGCTGGTAATTGGATACAGATACATTTCTAGCATCAGCAGCACAAGAGTTAGTGGTTCCTTGCTGTTTAGACACAATTAGAGAAGAGGATTTGTCCTTTAATCAGATCCTGCTTGCTCTCATTCCAATGGCTGATGATGTGCCTAAGAAAAGCAAGGGTCTTTTTTTAGCCCCATTTTATTCTTTGGTTTAGAACCTACATCTTCCAAATAAAGAAATCTTCTAGCTTTTGTCTGTTCCCCACACCCTAAAAGTTGAATCTTCCAGGATTCAATAAAATCAAATAACCATAATCATAAACTACAGTGGTTTCTTATTGATCCCTACCACATTGAAGCATTGTGTAAGTGCATTGCGTATGCTATCTCATTAACTTCCGAGAACTATTAATTGTCCATATTTTACAGATGAAGAAAAACAAGACTCACAGAAGTCAGAAAAGTTATGTAAGAAAAATATCATAATGAGGCTTTGAATGCTAATTTTCTCACTCCAGGGCAAAAAAGATAGTGAGTATGTTTAAAACTGTATTATTTTTATACAATCCATGTTTGGAATAACTCAAACACTAGAATATGATCTGCTATCACTCTTTAAAATCATTGTGGCTTAGATAAAGATTAAATTATTTCAAAATACTATAGCACTTTAAAGAGCATATTGCTCTTCAACATATTGAAATGGTTTCTAATACCTCGGGATCTGGTAAACAATACAAAGATTGGAATTGTTTATCAAAAACTGCTGGGTTTTTTTTTTTTGGCTTAATCTTCATATTTGATGGGAAATATGGAACAAGTATGCCCCTTTTTTCAAAATACTAAGTTTTCACTGAATTTGCCCCCAGGGGAAAGGAAAAGGCATAACGAACCCAGGGAATTGCCTAGAATGGAGCTCATAGGACTCACTGCACTCATGTCCAGCAGAGAGACTGAATCTGTAGAACCAACTTGCCTGAGGGCACAGGGCAAGTGCCAGGCAGAGCTGGGCTTAGAACACAAATCTTCCACAAGCAACAGTGAACAAGCATTCCTGTAAGATTAGACCACCCAATAGTCGTAATGATCAGAACTTACTTTATTTCCTTTAGAATGTCCAGTAAACATTTCATGAGCATCTATCTTGTGCCTAAGTTCTGAGCACAATACACCATGATATTGAACAAGTCTAAGGGGCCCCTTTTCTCACCAGGCATAATGCTAATGTGGGGAGACAACAAACGAAACTGCAAATGAAAGCAAGGCTGTAATAGTACTATGACAAATGCTGTGAGAAGAAAAAAAAACATGATTGTGGTAGGATATGATTCATATCACTTTGGGTTGGATATCTAGGGTTTCAGATGCTGAGATGGAAGAAGGTGAAATATGAACATATTACATGTCACACCTTACTTTGAGAAATACTGCCCTTTTTACATTTATTCAGAGGATAAACTCTATATTCATCCATTCAAAAAACGAAAACTCATGACCCTTGAGCTGGCACTGACTAGTAAAGGGCCTTTGGGACAGGGTAGACGTGCGCCTGTCGTTTCTGAGAATGTGACTCCTACGGGCGCAGAGTTTCGTCTTTCTCCAGCAGCGGAATGGGTGGTTTCCAACTGGTGACTGTGGAATGATCAGGCCAAGGCGTAGCCACTAGGCCCGCAGGGCTCCTTACATACACACATAGAACATGCCATGCAGTACCAGGCAGGCTGAGACCAGCCTTCAGTCATTTTAACACAAGAGTTCATAGAAGAAAGTGATCTTTATAGGATAGAAAAAGCAGCAAAAGCGTCAAGGGGGTTAAGGTTATTGATTTTTTGAAAGATTAGTTTTTTATTTTTAACAACTTTATTGACATGCCATTCACATATCATACATTTCATTAGTTCAATCACATTCATAAGAGTTGTGCTACCATCACTACAGCCATGCCAGGACATTTCTTCTGCCTTGTAGTTATTGTTGCTAGCTCCCCATTTACCAACAGCCACCTCTGCCATGACCCTGTGAATCTATTAATCCAGCTGTCACGATAGGGTACCTAATCCAGATCTCACAAACAGAAAAACATACAAGTTCAAGACAAATACAAAAGTCCCCCGAACAACAACATAATGAAACAAAGGAAAACATCAATCAAAAACAAAAGAGAAAAACTAAAGACTGGAGCAATTATGCACTGAATCCAGAGGGAAATCAAAGACCAAGTGTCGCATTTTGACCCACTATAACTGCGATGATCCACCCTACAATGTACTCTGCCCTATAGCATTGCCTTTCCCTCAGTCAGAGTCAGAGGAAGAATTCAGTCCCTGGAGTCTGACTTCGTGTGGAGGACCCTACCAATGGGCTCTGGGTTTTCATTGTCAGCCACAGTCTTCTGCAAACTGGGTGTTCAGAATTTAAGCTCTAAATATCATTCCCTCCTTTGCATTTGTATTTTACACAGAAATAGAAGAAAGTAATATAAACATCACTAAGAGTGTCTATAAACACTTAGGAATGGGAAGAGTCTGAAATAGAATGCTTGCATGTGAATAAAAATGACATCAAAATGTACTATGTACGTAGGGGCCGTCACTGTGAGTCAGAACCAACTTGGCGGTGCCCAGCAACGCCAGAACCATGACAGACAGAGCTAGAAAGGAAGGTCACGATCAGATGATCCCGACACTGGAACTCCATAGAGTTTGGATTCCACACCACGTAGAAGGCGAACAAGTACATAAGGTCATGGGGCATTTAAGATGATTTAATGATGCCAATGGCAGGTAGTATCAGGTGTTCTATTTGGGGAAGAGATTGTGGCACATGAGAATTTCCGGATCTACACTAAATGTAGTCTTATTTTATTGATTATTTGGCCAGTGAATAGAAAATTGGGAATTAAACTGTTCCCCGATAGGCAGAAAATAATTAGTGCAACAATTACTTTCCTTTATCCTGAATAAAAAGTATTCCCCTTTTCCCCTACCAATGGGATACTAGATAACAGCGTGTTTTTTTTTAATCATTTCTAAAGTATGCCAAAAAAAGATCAAAATTGGAAAAGAGGAAAATAGCTATAAAGTAGCCTCTATCTGCTCTTACATGTTTCCACATGGTGAAGAGCTTGCCACCCCTTCTGACGCCCTTGAAGACTTTAACCTTTACATTTGTGGTGTTCACACACAGTTGATGATTTATATGTTTTTTCCTAGGATGCTCTATTTTAATGGTCTTTCTTTTGTCGCAGGAGCTGTTGGTCTTACTTGCCTGGGTTTAGTTGTATTTAAGTGGAAGCTCCAAAAAGGCAAAGCAAATGAACACACATCAGAAAACCTTTGTTGCAGAACCTTCGAAGACTCCCTGTGTGCTCGGGAAGCAAGAAATTACTGCACTAAGGGTGACTGTAACTGCCACTTACCTCAGGAAAACCAGCTAAAGGTCATGTCCATTGTGGAGTCCAGAAAGGAAAGGCCAATTTTACAGGGAAACAGCCATCAGGCAACACAGGCCCCCGAGTCCGCAGCCCTTGATGGATCATTTAGAAACCTGAAAGGGAAGGACCACGGGGCAGACACCACTTTCTTTTGCCTTGATGGCAGATTGCTGCAGTCAGGATGGACAAGGCCACTTGGAGATATGGCAGCTTTGAATGATACAGATTCACTTACAAGATTCTGTCGAGACAGAGTGCCAAAGCCTGGGCAAGTCCAACCACAAGCCCCGTCATACCGTGTAACAACAAGAGGTAAGTTGTCATGGTTTCCAGCATCCTGCTCTATTTCATTCCCTCCGACAGAGGTTTCATATTGTAAAGTCTCCACCTGGAAATACCTCTGAAATCATTGAAGCACCAGCTTCCTCTTCTTCCACAGATACTAGACCTCCGTGTGTGTGTGTGTGTGTGTGTGTGTGTGTGTGTGTGTGCAGGCGTCCTTGGATGAGCAGTCAGTGGTGTGTCCACATCACCATGAGCTGAGAATACATTTCATACCACCTGGAAAGTGAGTTATATAACCCCACATCTACTAATGTTATACAAAATGAAAAAGAAAAGAAAGAAACGTTTTACAATAACAATGGTGCTGCTAAGATTTATGGGAGAGTGAGTACCGGCTTCCATTGCAACATCCTTTGTGCTCTAATGCCAATTCTGCAGTAGGCAACCTTCCCAGAGCATGACACATTAGAAGAATGGGCCTTCTAATACTCGTGATTCATTTCAGGAATGATGTCAAGAAACATACTTTGCTTGCTGAGCTGTCAGGGATGATAACTTCCCAGTCCAGGGAAAGTCAAGACTTAATTCATTGTCCCATGTTGGTAGCCAAGTGAATCTGGCCATGACATCTACCCACTGTACATGGGCGATGTCAATATTTAGGTGAAGGCAATGAATTACACGTCTTCCTTTTTCTTTCTGAATAATAAGGCGATGCTTGCGGGCTCAGCAGTGAACACTTTGACGGCTGCTCTGTAAAGAGGTTCCTGTCATCTATTTGAATTGGTTTACAGCAAGCAGAGCTTTCCCTCGGAATATGAATGACAGAGGTGCTGCACCAAGAAATTCTTACCAGAGAGATCGAGCCCGAAGGATGAATTTGGGGACAATTGGATGAGAATGAAACCATATGTTATTTTCACATGAAGCATCAGGCAGGATGTGAATTTATGCCATTGCAGTCCCCAGATTCCAGTTCTTACCGGTTTCTGGGGACTGATGATTTGACTGAAGCGAGCTATGGCCACGTAAGGAAACATTTGCCAGAGGAGTCTGATCACATTGGCTTTATTTTATAAAAGGATAAACATTTAACCTTTCAATAGGATCAAGCCTTAGGCAGATGTTTCATTCGGAGCCTGGTATACTGAAGGGAATACAGTCAAGGTAGTCTCTTAAAACATTTAAAACCCGGTCCCTTATCTCATACAGAGATACCTGGTTTGTTACATCAGATATAATCATTTTTTTCAAAGCAACAGTTGAAATTCTGCTAAATGTTAGAGCTGGGGAGGACACGTGTTTGAGGCGAGACCAGCCAAGAGCACACCTGCTTCAGAACGGAAGTCAATAAGGAAGCCACACACTCTGATGAAGCCTTCTCACCTGGAAACACTGACTAACGGGATCTCAAGGGGAGAGGGGACTTCAGAGATGATTTATTCAGTAGTTCTTAATATTTATCTTTGAGTCACAGATCTCTTTAGAGCATCTGATGAAGGCGACATTTTTCCCCAGAATAACTTATACACCCATCTAAAGTTTTCATCTAGTTTACCTCCTGATACCCAGAGAGGAAGTGGTTTCTCGAGAGTGATTCAGTAAACTAATGACAGATTTTATATTAGATTTAGGTACAGGTTGGGATTTAATCACCTCTTTCTTTCCTTAAGGAATAGAAATATTCCATTTTTGCTCTAGATAAAATAAACAATTTTATGAAAGAAGAGAAAATGAACTCCAAAAATGAAATTAATTGTATTGAGGTTAAGGGCATGGGACTTCATATTCAAGTCTTGGCCATATAATTCAGATGCCATGCACACAAACCGCAAAGAAAACACACTGCCATTAAGCCCACTGCAACTCACAGTGAACCTACAGAGTGTTTCCAAAGCTATAGATCTTTAAGAAAATAGATAGCCTCACCTCTCTTCCTTGCCGCTGCTGGTGGGTCTGAACTACTAAACTTGCAATTAGCAGTCCGATAGCTTATCTAATAGCACCCTCAGAGATTCTTAGCTATCATGTGACGGGGAAAATACAAACTCTTTAACTTTATTTTTCAATTAAAAAAATGATAAAGTAATGGACTTGTCAAATGAATCAGATCTCTTATGAACATTAAATGAGAGAATATTAAAAGTTTACATATTTAATACAGTATCTGGCTGCTGGTGTTTGCGTAATAAATGGTGAGTAGTATTGCTATTTTCATCAATTATATGATTTAACCTGTACTGTTAATGTTATATTACAATGTACCATTTAGAAGCCTCAGGCAGAGATTGCTATAACACAGGCCATATGCTGCAATGCCTATTTGTCTACCAAATATTTAATGAATGCTGTATTAAATGGTGAGAATAGAACAGATATGATCACTGTCTTCATAGAGATATTAGTATCAGAAAAGCACAAACATACTTTCATATGTTGTGCTTACTCTTCATTTGAAACCTGCACATGATCCAATATCGCATCCATGTTTTTCCTAACATTGAGTAATAAATGAGGAATGGATACAAAAATAAATTTACTGCCACTGTTTGAAAGATATTTGGATAATGGACATATTTAAAGATAACCTAATCAAAAATTCATCTACAAATGCACAGCTATGAGTAATGTTTTCCTTTCTAATTTCCCAGCTTTTAGATCTGCATTGCAACTGACAAAAATATGGCTGTAGATAATGCATTGAAAACACACCACACTGCTAACTATCCTCTGTAGGTGGGTTGAAAAATAGAAAGTACTCAGCAATTTCCACAATCAGAAGTGTCGTTCTAAGCATCTGTTGGTCAAGTGCTAAATTCCTGCATTTATTGTTCCTCAGCTATCAGCAGTGACACATTCAGCAGAAGATATGCAGCATCCGCTACAGCCTTGGCAAGAGGAAGTCTTGAAAAGCCTTTAACAAATGAATCATGGCAGCATCCAATAGAAAAAGGAGACAATAGCGTACATCCTCACCGGCAGAGGCGTTTTATTCTAAGCTCATCACCCAAGCCTTGCAAGCTTGAGGAACACCATGTACAAAAGATCGTACAAAAACATAGATCAAAATATGATGGTCCTTGTGGACAGTTAAAATGGAGCAGGCCTAGGTATTCTCAGCCAAACAATTCTCTTCTCTGTAAATACGTGCCCTGGGATCAATTTCAAGATTATGTGAAAGAAAAGAAGCCACACCGTAGAAACTATTCAAAGCTTGAGAAACGGCAAATCCAAATTAACAATGCAATAGAAAAATTCCTAATGAGCGAGGACCCCATAGAAAGATCAGGGCTATCAACAAAAGTTAAGAAAACATGTGCCCCCAAGAAGGTGAGCTTCCATGACCCCGATTTAGTAGAAACAAATAAGTCGGTCCTGTCACCTGGAGCAGCAACCTATAGGGATCAGCAGAGAAATCAAAGTAACCAACTGACCAACTTGGATCTCAACAAATGTAGCCACCCTTGGGTGAGAAATTCCAGAGAAGAAAGGTTTACAGACCAACAGCTTCTGAAAAAGAAGCGAATCAATAGATCAAACTTCAAAGGGGAAATTAAAGGACAAGATGTACGCATGAAATTACATGCACATGCTTTCCGAAATGCGAGAGTCCATCCAGAAAAGCCTTTCCCAGAACTTTCAAACAAGTGCCAACAGACCTTGTTACCTACTAAGAATCTATCCAAAGCTTCTGAGAAAGAAGTCAAAATAAATCCCCTGTCCTCTGCAGATTACCCCCAACAGCCAGACAGGAACACCTATGTTAGACTCCCTCTAAAGAGTCTGTCTCTCAAACATGCGCCAAAGCAGACACCATCTTGCAAAAGAAACACAACACATGCGTCTCTGCTCAGTTCCAATAACTTGTCCGTAGGCCCTCAGAGCTCTGACGAAGGTGGGTGTCGTCTTATTGGTCAGATTCCTGATGGAAATCCCTCCCCACCCATCATCGCTGAGCACAGACATTCACATGTCCACTTCTCAAATGAGCAAGTGGAGGGTGAAACTCCCAGGGCACTGGAGGCTGCTGGTCAAGTACCAGCTCCTTGGGCAAGCACAAGCAGTGATGTTTTACCATCCTGCTCTTTTGGGAGGGCTATGGACAAAGGGCCCCCAGACTTCCCTGAGTCCGTGGCTCAGGAAAAATCAAAAACTATCAAGGGTGGGAAGATGAACCAGTTTTCTTTGCTCCTACAGAATCGGACACATCTTTCAAGTGTCCAAGAGACTGACGCCGACACCCAGGAGTACACTTCAGATCAAAATCAGGCTCTGCAACAGGGAGAGTGCATGCATTGTCACGCACACCTTGGAAACAACGAGAGAACACCAGCGACAGAAACCTCCAAGTCACATCATATCATAGAAAGTCACCTGAGGGATGAAGGAAGAATTAATGAGGGACAAGACCTTCCTCACACAGAGACCCGTGATTCTTCTTTCATTCGCCACGGACAATCCGAGAGCAACCTACAAGCTATGGAGACAGATTCTACGCCATACCAGCATAGACTAGAGATGCCCAGGGAGCTCAGTCCTCCTTCTCTTAGTAACCCGGCCCCTTGGCATTGGACCAAGAGTAGTGATGGGGGAACTGACAATAGAGCTGCATTACCCAGAGAGGACAGCACCGACAGCGCCGCAGAGATAAAAGTAGTAGAGGAAGAAGAGAACAAAATGCTCTATGAAAGCAAGACAAATTCCGTAATGGTCCCTCAGACCGCACACGTGACCTCAGAACACACCACAAGAGAAAAGCAGAAAACGTGGGGAAATGGCAAACATGAAAAACCTTTATCAGACAATTCAAACCCTGTCAAGGCAACTACTCCTGGAAAGGATTTGAGTTTCATGAGTTCTCCTGAGAATGGAGATCGCCTGCCTGGTAGTGAAATAGATCTTCAAATGAACAATAAGGTGTGTGATTTGAGTGAAGTTAAAAATATTCAACCAGATGAAGAGAGCAGTGTACATGAAGAACGTGAAAGGACAGTGGACAAACGGGAAGCACGTTCCCCCTTCCCAGCTTTACGAGGTGTCAGTTTTGAGGCAGAAGATGAGGGGCCTCTAATTCCTAGCAGAAGAGGTGAAGCTGAAAACTCTGCTCCAAACCCTGTCCTATAGCCACCTTCTGCTGAATATGCTACTACATCCCCGTCAGAGGCAGAACAAAGTGAACAAAGTCATCAAAGAGTAATCGTTTTCTACTTTAGCTTTCTTCAAAAGCACACACAAACAGCCCCCAGCCTTTGCTTGCACTACAAATGCACTGTATTGGAGGGACAGTTCTCAGTAATTCTTTGTTATCAGTGAAACAAAGTACATAGTGAAACACAATACAAAAATCAAAGACGGAGTCACAAGACATGTTTGACACGGAGGAGTCTGCTTCTCTAGGGAGTGGGGGATTTTGCAAAAGAAAGTTTTGCCTAGTCTTGACAAAGCAAGGAAACGTTAAAAAACATCTTTAACAAATGAGAGGTTTAATAAGGAAAAATGTACTTGAACACATTTACTCTTGTTTATTTCATGGAAGTTGCTATTCACATTTCGATTAGTGGTGATATAATACTGCTTTCTATGCAGCTGAATATATATATATACACATATATATATTTGTATTTATACCTGCTATCTTTTCCTATCTAGTGTATAAAACAAAAATTGAGCTTTGCTTGTTAACCATGGCCCAGCGGATGTGCATGTGAGTCTATTTCATTCATTTGCAACTGTTTAGTGATGATTATCCTAGATCTTAAGTAGAAATCTTTACAACCTGTTAGGGATTTAAAACCTGTTAAGGATTTCTGGATAGTAGATTTACATAAAATCTGCAATATCTTTTAAATCCACTAGGTGGAGATCTCAGCTTCCATCACTTTAAAAGATGAACAAATTCATGGCTTTAAGATCAACACAATGGATTCTGAACAAAAAGGAATTTTAATTCGCTTTATTGCCAATTGTTATTAATTTAAGATTTTGAAATTAAATAGCTCATTAGCATGCAATCTTTCAAGGGTTGATCTTTTGAGTTCAACAAGCCACTATTGTTTGGTGGGTGCTTTCTTCTGGCAGAAGAATTACATGTATTTATAAATATTAGATTTAAAAGTATTCTCAAAGTAAACATCTCTCTTTCAAAGTCATATATATTGAAAAATATAATTATATACAGACGCTTTTTATTATTGATATACCAATATATCAATATGTTGATAGCAGACCTTCAGGATATAAAATATAATACTATAATGTTTCACCTTTCTTGGTAGGAAGAAGATAGGTTATAGAGACAACAAACATCCTATTCCCTTACCTCTATTTTAGTCTCCATCCAGATACATTTATAACTTCACTGGACATGGTTACAAAGCTTTTTAAAAAGTCTGTGGAATAAGTTAAATATATATGCTTATGTGCCTCACCTAGCCTCTATTTCTTTTCCTGTTCTGAATGGCCAGCAAATGAGGCCACTCTCTTCTTTTGAGAATCTCTAACCTTCTTACCCCACTCTCTTTGCTCCTGGATTCAAAACTTTTTTCTTTTAACTCCAACTTCTTTCTCTGTTTCTGTTCAGCCTCTCTGCATGAGCTTCACTCCCTTGCCATCTCTCCTGATCCCACTTGCATTTTGTTGAGCACTTCAAGGTGAGAAGAAGATCGAAGCCACCTTCTTACACCCGAGGTTCATTCTATTCTAGTTGACAGCTTCGCCCAGCCTTACAGACCAGCCCAGTAACTTCTTTTCTCAGCACCTATCTTTTCTATTCAAGTTTTAAATTTTCCTCTGCACTTGCACCTTATTGCACAACCCTTAGCTTGTTCTAGCTTCTCACTGCAAACAATGTCCCCCATTCCAAGATTCCAAGGGTCTAACAAGTCCTCTGGTGACTAACACTCACTAGTGATGTCAATTCTCCTAAACTCTTTCCTCTCTTTCATTTCTGCAATCTAGTCGAGATGGCCCACCCCCCACCCCCGACTCCGCTTTTCCTTGAAATGATCCTCAGCTTTACCCTTAAAGCTTTACCCCATGGTAACCATTGTATTTCTCGCCTTGTCGTGAACTGGATTCCTGCGAACTGCAGCCCCCGCTGGTTGCTCTGACTCCCTGTCCTTTGCTTTAGGGTCAGCCCTCTGGTTCTGTCCGGACTGCATTCAGCACTTGAGGTGCATACTGGCTCCGTCCCAGAGATGTCGATGCAGCAGGGTTACGATGTTAGTGTGTTCTCTTCCGTTGGTTCTGACACACAGTGACCCTATCCCACAAACTAGAATGAACTGTCCCCACCGCATAGGGTTTTTCATGCTGTACTTTCGATGGGAGCAGATTACACAGCCTTTCCTCTTGCAGAGAGCTCCTGGGTTTCAACCTCTGATTTTGTTGTTAGCAGCCCAGCGTGTAACCATTCCATCACCCCTCCCCCACCACATCTAACACACACCGAATCTTCAGTTTAGGAAATACTTTGGAACAATCTGGAACTTGTAGTTTGCAGCCTGCATATGAAGAAAAAAATGTCTTGTCAGCCCAATGTACCGCCCACAACCAAACCCACTGTGTAGACTGATTCCAGTGTATAGTGACTCTTCATAGGTCGTCCAAGATTTTCAGTCTTTCAGGCAGCAAAGAGGCTCATCTTTCCATGGAGTGGCTGGTGGGATCCAACTGCTGACCTTGTAGCTACCAACCCAATGCCTAACGGGCAACATCACCAGGCTCCAGGAGGTGGCCCTTAGTGTCTACTTTATTATAGCAATGGCTTGAATTTTTAAGTGATAAGTCCTTCCTAACAAACTGATGAATCCTCTTTCTCTCCCCTCCTTACTTTTAACATACCCCTGCTGAGCCCACATGTTGTTAAGGGATCACACACTTTCTTTTCATAACACAAACTTTCAATTCCCTAAAGGTCACGCCCAAATTTCCCATTCTAGTTTCCCAGACTTTTCAACATTTGACCCCATCCACCTACCAGAACTCTTTTCCACATCTTAGTGTTTTCTGATAAGCATCACCCAACTCCATCAGGCTGGCATTTTTACTATCCTGAATCTGTTTTATCTATCTGATCTTTCCTGAAAAGAAACACTTAAGAGATAATATATGCTTCACATCCAAGAAGTAAGGCCAAGACAGACAGCAAAAAAGAATAAGTCGTAAAGTTGATAGTCCAGAAGGTGAAGGCCAAAATAGCATGAAGGTAATGCCTAAGACAGAGAGATGCCTTTGTTTTAAATGATGCAACACTAAGAATTAACCTCTCAGTGGCTGAAATGTTTCAAGATTGAATGTCTTTGTTATTTATCTTTTCTGTGAACCGGTCTGCCCGTCTTCTCTGCTTAGACTCTTGTTCTCTCATGTCAACTCTCTTCAGTCAGAAAGCTTCGGTGTATCCTATCTTAGCTCAAGTGTCACTTCTTCTAGAAAGCTTTCTCTGATCTACATCTTTCTCCCCCAACATGCTGGAACTGCTTTAGTATGCACTCTTATTGACTTGTCTTCTCCTTGAGAGCTCTCGCTTCGGTGGTAACTCTAGAAACATTAATGTTCTCCATTCAGTCAATTCCCATCAGATCAGTAGTCCCTGAATTCCAGTCACAGCAGCGTCTCACTATGAAATCTCAGCTCTCCAAAGGACTTTATGGTAGAAACTCAAATAATTATTGAAGAAAAATGTGCAAATTAGCCCTACTCTTCCCTTTTCCTACACCACTTGGCCCACTGAGGTGGTGATGAGCTGGTTGGCATCACAAAGCCGACTCAGACGTATCTGGTACCAAGACAGTGGGCTTTTCTGAGAGTTGGCTTTCCTACTGCGCTTTCTCCCCACTTCTCCCTCCACGTCCTCCTACAGACTGAAGACCACTCAGTTTCTTATGCTCATCGATATGCTTACTCTCAGAAAATAGGCCTGAAGCTCATATGGAGAGAGGAGAAAGCCCTTTCCCAAATGGCTTTAAGACATATATAGTTTAAGACGAAATTCATTGTATGTTGAAATCCAGGCAAGAAAACACTAAGCATTGATAAGCCATAGTCATTTTCATTCGTTTGTTCAACCAATATTGCTTGAATATCTGTGGATTATAGTTTTAAGTGTCAGAATTATAGTAGCAAACAACACAGCCAATAAAGCCACCCCTGCTTTTATAGAGCTACCATTGTGATGGTGACTGACAGGAGATCCTAAGCAGTTAGTGTATGTCTTAGATGTGACCAGGGAGTTGAGCTTAATGATCAAGAGAAGAGCTTATTTCTTCTGAAATACTTATTCTACACCCCATGACAATATGTTCACTTGTCTTAGAGATAGACTTATTGTGTACTTGCTAGGTTGCGTCATGGCTTTGTATAGCTTTTGTCTTTTTTTTTTCTTTGTCCAAACAGCTGGACTGGGATTTATTCTAGTTCTCCGTTGTTACACGAGTTTCCCGAGGGAGTAGCAGCCTTTCTGGGGAGAGATAAGGTGCTTGGGAAACTTTAGAAGTACGGCCCTTTTAGAAAAGGACAACAGTAACTATGATGGCTTCAGAAGGACAAGGGGAGGCCAACAGGCTTTCATGCGGGAGGATTTCCAGGGTAAACAATGTACACACATTCCCTGCACTCGGAGCAGAAGAGGCAATGGACAGAAGGCAAAACACAAGGTTTTCAATGGAAGATAAAACATACTAGCAGGGGGATTCTTAGACATCGAACTCAATGGTGTTAACTGGTGGAGGCTATAGATTGTCCTATTTTGTCACTCTGAAACTGAAGTAGACATCACCCTTTATGGTACAGTTAAGTAGAGTCTTTTGCTGCCGACAAATGGCCTGGGATTTCATCCTCGGATTAAATGACTGTTTATTCTTCAACTCCCTTAGAACTCTATTTTTAAAAATACTTTTGTCACTGTTTACATTTGCTACTTACTTTTTTCATTCCATAACATTAATTGCTCCTTTTGGACTCTAAATTTATGTGCTTCACAACTTTATCACATAGCCATCCAGAGAGGCAGGGGAGAATTAGCACCCACATTGTCTGCCTTCTGCCTGGGTTTCTTAAGGCCTCCTCACAATGAATAGCCAACACCCGTCTAACTTGTGCCAACTTTCTTTCTTCAGAAAATGATTAAGTACAGTTCAAGCACAGTTAATAAAATTGCAGTGAGATGAGCCTGTGACTCATCTGTCATACCCGGGTCTGTCTTTTACTAATCAGTTGTGAGAAACATTTCAAAATCAGAAAGCAGCAGCAGAGAAATATGAGATATTCAAACTTCTTGAGGCAATTAGAGACTAAAGAGCAGAAGGCAAATCAGTCGTTCTGCCTTGACAGTCTTAAAATACACACTGAAAGTAGACTTCGGAGTTCTACTATTGGTGACAGATTTTGACCATAACCCATTTTATAAGAGGAAATAAAAACTACTCACTGCAGGGCATGCATTCCTTCCTCGCATCAGCAGCGATGAGATGGGCTTGGGGATAGAGTAGCCAATGGGAGGTCTAATGTGGTGATAAGCCATGTCTGCAGCGGCAGCAGCTGCAAATCCAACAATCACGTCAAAGCCAGTCTTGGAATTGACAGACGTAGTTCAAGAAGCATAGGAGGAGGTGTCAAAAAGTTTGTGGGAAAATTAAATTAAAATACATGTATCCCACAAACTTTTGAGGCTTCCTCATATAAACAGAGTCAAGAAAAGTCATCAGAATCAATCTGTAGCATACATGTGCACCACTTTTCATACCAGCACTGTGAACAGTAGCCCAAAGTAGAAGCAACCCAAGTGCCTAGTAACAGATTAATGGACAAGCAAAACGTGGTCCCTCCATGAGAACCTGGTGGGATAGTGGTTACGCGTTGGGCTGCTAACTAAAAGATCAGCAGTTTGAAACTACCAGCTGCTCCACGGGAGAAAGAAGAGGCTTTCTACACCTGTGAGGAGTTGCCGTCTTGGAAACCCAAGGGAGAGGTTCTATTCTGTCCTCTAGGGTGTCTATAAGTCAGCATAGAAGTTTTCTGTTTGTTTTGGTACATTTATAAGTAGAATATTTATTCAGCCGTAAAGAAAATTAAAGTCCTGATACCCTGCAAACATTTTGTTCTCAGTGAGATAAGCTAGGCACAAAAAAATAAATGCTGTATGATCCTGCTTATGTGGAATATGTAAACAGGCACATGCATGGAGACAGACACTTTAGAGGCTACCAAGGAACAGGGGAGACGGGTGACTGGGGAGTTATTGCTTAATGAATAGAGTAAAATGTAAAGGCTTTAGAAACTAAGAAGTTATTATTATTTAATCACAATAAAAACTACCCCTTCCACAAAAATCAACCTGTGCAACATCAGGTGAGATTAAAAGAGATCTCTATGTTATTTTTGCTTCTTTGTTTTAGTGATGTGAACAAACTGGTGGCTAATTTGACACTATAAAAACCACTTTACAGTGGTTTATTTATCTGGTTATTCAGTCAACCAATAATGAGAGGGAAAAGAAAAGATTTATAAAGGAACAGTGATCCAGGAGCACACGAAAGGAAGTAGCTTAGAGTACTGAAGAATAGAGTGTGCACAGAATATTGTTGAGACTAAAGGTTAAAAGGTAGATCAGATTACATTGTCAATGCCAGCTTTTCCAGGCTAAGGGGCTCACTTTCTACGTCACAAGAGGTGGGGAGTCATTGGAATTTGCACTTCTAAAATCACCTATATATCACAAAATAGTTTTTTGTCTTTTAAATTTAGATCTGCTGACAGGGATGACAAGGTTTTAAATTTTAGTATTTGTAATGTACTCATTGTCTAAACTCTGCTAGCTGCCACTAATCCGTTACTTCCTTAATCCTACTTATTGATTGAAATCCTGAGTGTTGCCTCCCTACCTGGATTTCTGAATATTATAAACAACAGTTGTCATTGTGTCAATCAATGTCAGATTGACACAATGGGATTGTTCCCCTTAAGCTTAAAAAAAAAATTGCAACACACAATACAACACAGACAATAATTTCATTCGTGTCTCCACATACGCCTCTGTGACATTGGTTACATTTTCAAGCAGTTTCTCTATATATGTTCTCTTTTTCAAACTATCTCAGGATCACAGCTCTCTGCAGTTTAGCTGACTGAGTTTTGAGAGGTAAACTGCCCAGCCATTCTTCCCTGGGTAGCGTCAGCCAGGCTGCTAGTATGTTAGTAATATTTTTTTTTGGGGGGGGTGTATTATTTGTTTAGTTGATTGTTTTTCTTTTTTTTCCTAACTTAGTAATTGGTTTAGGCAGGAATCAAAATCTAGGTGTGCCTGTCTTGTAAAGTCTGTGTTCTCTTCAGCGTACTTGGCATTGGAAGCATTTTGTGGACACATGGACTCTTTCTGTTCTGTAGACACCTGCGCTCGGGACCAGATTGTTCTTTAGTCCTGTCTGCAAACATGCAGTGGCCAGAGACCCTGTCTATACGTAGTAACTGCAGAGATTTGATGCACGATTGCCAGCCTCTGGGTCACCAAACTGTATCCCAGTTAACTTTTGTTTATAAATTTCCAGTAGATTATATGAAATGATATGCAATGTAGTTTAGCATATTGCTTCATACATTAGCTCCTTAATTATAGCTAATCTATTCAGAATAGCTACTTAATTATACAAATTTTAAAGTAAATAAGGTGGAAATTTAGAAATTTAAAAAATATAGATATAAAAATCTTATGATCTGGAACAATTAAAATTTAAGCATGTTACCTTGGGTAATGTTTTCTTAACTCTTCTTTATATCATTGAGTTCATGACAGATACCAGTTCTGTAGCCCTTCCCCCTGCAGCTGAAATGTAAGCATTTTCCCATGTTAGTCAAGCACTGTTGAGTGTCTACCTGTTGGCACATTCACTGTGATTTACTTCACCATTCGTCTGTCTAGTGTTATGGCAAATCCAGTGTGGACACTTCCAAGAAGACCTAGTTGTAATAGGACTCTGCTCACTGATAATATTTTAAATAATAGAATTAATATATAAATAAATATGTAAAAGGCAACTCATTTCAAAGCTTTCAATACCTACAGACAAACATCTTTCCTAAATTATTTTATATTTTCATAATCTCACTGCCAAAGGGCTAGCCCTGGTCACATGGTTGTGTATGCATTGGGCTGCTAACCTTCAAATTAGCCACTGCCTCACGGGAGAAATATGAAGTTTTTTACTCCATAAAGACTTAAGGCCTCAGAAACCCACAGAGACGGTGCTGCTCTATCCCACAGGGCAGCTGAGTTTGAAACCACCAGCTTGTCCCGTGGGGACAGAGGAAGCGTTCTGCTCCCGAGAAGAGGTGCCGTCCTGGAAACCCACCAGGGCAGTTCTAGTCTGGCCTGCAGGCACTCCCTGAGTCAGCCCGGATTCGTTGGCAGTGAGTTTGGGGCCTGTTTTTGTTTTCTATAGCTGGTAGAATTACAATTGCTGGCACCAAGAAAATGGGAAAAAAATTAACGAATTGGTCAAGTGAGTTTGGGGCCTGTTTTTGTTTTCTATAGCTGGTAGAATTACAATTGCTGGCACCAAGAAAATGGGAAAAAAATTAACGAATTGGTCAACATATGTTTAGCTTACTTACTCTGACTCATAGAAGATGTCTTTATGTCAAGAAATAGGTATACTATATTCCTTACCTTGATAAGGCTATTCTTGATAACTTTTAAGTCTTTCTGGAATGAGGTAAATAATCAAATCAATAATCTGATGTTTAATGATCATTGATCTTTTAACTTTATTCTAGTTTTTACCTCAAGACTAATGTATTGTTGATCTGGTACAGCTAAAAGCATAGAACAATCTAAACTCACTGCCATCCAGTCAAATCTGACTCATAGTGACAATATATAAGGTTTGGGGGACTGCAAAGCTTTATAGGATCAGACATCCTTTTTCCTTCAGAGCAGCTGGTAGATTTGAAAAACTGACCTTCCGGCTATCAGTCAAGACGTAACCCAGAGAGCTGCCAGCTCTCCTTTGAACCCAATGGAGCCAGTGTATTTGGACCAATCCTATCTATCATAAAAGCCCTAGAGGGGCACTCAATTACACGTGAGTTCACTTCAGACGCAGGTGCCAATCGTCCCCCTTTGGACTCTCATCAGACCTTATGTGTATAAACTCACTTGTTTGCTTCTTGGCAGTCTCTGGAATATCAATTTAAGATGACCAGTGTTTAATTCTTCATAATTCAAAGTGGATATTGAAGGGCTTTGGCATATCTTTCTCCATTTTGCTTCATGCACTTGGGGCAGAGATACTACTAATTAGCACTTCTGCCAGAAAATGAGCAACACAACATGAGAGATCATGGGGTCGAAAGTGCCTCTCAGTCTTGCTGCAGTAATCATCTGGTGCTAACAGCTGGGATACTTTGTTGGTAGGCGAGGTATAGGGAAGAGACTATCAATGTATTCGTCAAGCATTTACTTTTGTCTTACATATAATACTCATATGTTAAATTATTTGTGTAAACATTTTTTATATTTCAAAACTGAAACCTTGTCATTAAAATAGAAGAATAACTTAAAAAATTATATCTGTACCTATTTATCAAGCACCTATCTCATCGTCAATGTACTGAGACAAGGAAGTGTAACAAAGCGTAAAGTAGTAGAGTCTGGAATACCACTGTCCGGTAAAACTTCATGCAATTAGAAAATGTACCTGTGTGCTATGCTTGACACTAGACATGTGTGACAAGTGAGAACTGAGATGTGGCTGTGTCTTACGGTGGTGCTCTAGGGACAAATACAAATAAAAACAGTAGCACATATATGCATATAATCACAGAGGGTGACATCAAAGAAACGGCGCACACTGTTGCGGAGTGGGCCAGTTCGAAGTTCAAGGATGACATCTTAGGTTGTACTTCTCTTGATTCTTGACGTGTCATAGGATGATGACCCCAAGAGCAGCAGATCAAAGGGCAGTTTCCTGGCTGCAAGGTGAGTGAATTCCAGGTCGGCAGGTGAAACAGCAGGCTGCTAATGATTCCCGGGATCAGCAATTCAGAAGGCAGGCTTCTGATGGTTGAAGTTAATAAATCCAAGATTTGCAGAAAAGCTAACAATTTGCTCTCAAGATCAGCAGACCATGCAGCCAACTGCAGGCTCAAATCCAAAGGTCAGATGATGAGCCCAATGTAGGCTCTGGCAGCAAATAAGCTTGACCATAGCTTCCGTATATATTGGAAGCAGGCAAAACCCTGAATAAATTGCTTTCGATTGATTGGCTGCTTATAGCAAATGCCATCATGTGAGTGGCTACATTATATTTGATCCCATCATGGATAATTGTTGATGTATTGTTAGGTGTTATCCAATTGGTTCAGACTCAGATCTACCTTAGGTACAAGCTTAAAAATCAAAACAAAACAAAACACTGCCTGGTTGTTCTGTAGCCTCACAATTGCTCCTGTATTTGAGCCCTTTGTTGCTGACACTGTGTCACTGCATCTGGTGGAAGGTCTTTTTCTCTTTCCTTGTCTCTCCACTTTATCATGTATGATAT